AGTATGTGACTCTTGATCCCAGGGTTGTGAGTTTTAGCCCCATGCAGGCTGTAGAGAGGACCTAAGTAAACCTTGAGGAAAACAAACCTCTCAGTTTGCACATCTCCAGGATATAGAATTCTCTGGTTATCATTTACGTTACAAAAGGATCATTAGCTGGTTTTGTTTTTTTTTTTTTTGGTTCTGTTCATTTTAGTTTATTTATTTTGAGAGAGAGAGCTCTCAAGAGTGTGGGAGAAGCAGAGAGAGGGAGAGAGTCAGTCCCAGGCAGAGATCACCCTGATGGGGGCCCAAACCCATGAACCGTGAGATCATGACCTGAGCTGGAATCAAGAGTCAGACACTTAACCGACTAGGCCACCCTGGATCCCCTTAATGAAAATTACTTTGATGAACTGGTTCTCTGTACACTTACATGTTTTGTCTACAGAAGGTGTGGAGTTCACCTTAATTGAGGCTTTAGCAACAGTATGAAGTTAAGAAACCCATTTTCCTTCAAGAACTTTCCCATAAACAGAAAAATAGTACCACCACTATCTCTTTATACTCTTCACTCATTCATTCAGCAGACATTTAATGAATGCCTTCCATGTGCCAGGACTTGTATCAGATGAAGAGAAGACAAAAATATGTTTCTGACCTTAAGAGGTTCAGATCCCAGCAGGGAAAACAAACCTCTGAGTAAGTACAATACCAGGCAATGTGCTGTAATGGAGGCCGATATGCAGTGCTGTGGGAATGCAGAGGGGCCTGGGAAGTTGCTGAAGATTTCACAGAGGTGCCATTTGACCTGTGTCATGAAGGGTACCAACACTACCAATTCGTGACGGCCACTGTGTGCTTCCAGTAGATTAACTCATGGAATCGTCAAAACGAATGCAGTTGTGTAAATGCCACTATGAGATCTGTACTTTTACCCTCTTGTCTGAAATTGACTTAAAGAGTCAAAGCAGGGGCTTCTGGGTGTCTGGGTTGAGTGTATAACTCTTGATTTGGGTCAGGTCACGGTCCCGAGGTTGTGGGATTGAGCCCTGTGTTGGGCTCCCCGCTGAGGGTGGAGCCTGCTTGCCACGCCCCCTGCTTGCACGCTCAAATAAACCAATAAATAAATGTCAAAGCAAAAAAGTGGTTACTTGGCTAAGCTACTAAATTACTTGATGTGGTTTGAATCTAGGTCTACCTGATCCCAAAACACGAAGGTGTGTGGGGCAGTAGATATTTTAGGCTTAAAACAGCTCTAAGAACTAGGAAGTAATGGAATCCTATAAAGACAGATAGAAACCTCAGAATGGCTGGGCTGAAACTGAGAAGGTGGAGGAATGGCAGCAGAACAGAGGACCATGTGTAAATTGCCTCACCAGCTTGTAACATACGCCGTAGGCAAACTGGAACCTGAGAGAGAGACGGGTCCCAAAGGTGCGGTGACGAGAGAATTAAGAAGCAGGGGGCTTCCACTCTCCAGGAGCTGAAGCACCCTTCTCCGGGCTCAAGCCTATTTTGCTACTTGTCTGGTAACAGCAAGCACATACAACATAGTATTTGGCATCTTGGCAGGTCATACATCTGCAGTGTATTCCATACTGGGTCCTGAGTACCTCTGGTCCCAGACAACACATTCTTATCCCTGGCCTGCCGTCTGTATGATGCCCTTCTGGAGAGAACGAGCAGTCCCAGCGGCTTTCCAGCCTGGGAATGGAACTGCCTTCAGTTCCCTGCTCCTTCGTCCCTTTCCTTCAGGACATTCTTAGCGTGTCTCTGGCTTCTTGTTCTCCAGCAGAACCTGGTTGCCGAGAGGTCTTCAAATAGGGCTGTGATCTGAGATGTTAAAATGTTAACATGTGGAGGTGCCTGGGTGGCTTAATCAGTTTAGTGTCTGACTTTGGCTCAGGCCATGATCTCAGTTCATGGGTTTGAGCCCTGCATCGGGCTTTGTGCTGACAGCTCAGAGCCTGGAGCCTGCTTTAGATTCTGTGTCCTTCTCTCTGCACCTCCCCTGCTCGTGCTTGGTCTCTCTCTTTCAAAACTAAATAAACCTTTAAAAAAATGTTAACATGTGGAAGATAAAATGCTGTTAAAAATCAACTCTCTTAAAAACTCAGAAATCCCTCCCCCCCTTTTTTTTAACTTTGGTTTTTGCAGACAGGGCACTTAAAGTGCCCTTTTTTTTTTTTTTTTTTTTTTAGGTAGTAGGCTCCAAGCCCAACGTGGGGCTTGAACTTAGAACACTGAGGTCAAGTCACATGCTTTACCAGCTGAGCAGGCCAGGCGCCCCCCTCTGCACTCTTCTTCACACAACTCCAGATAGCCTCCTCTCAGTGTGCTGTGAACTCTACAATGATGGGAACTCCACTGGAGATGGTGCCAAGGCAGGTGTCAAAAAAGGACTTTTGCTGTGGCCAGAGCTGGCACAGGGGTAGCCACCTGGCCTAGGAAGCCAACCAGATGGGACTGGCCAGAGAATGAAGCACAGCTGGAAGAAGAACACCAGCATTTCAAAACTCAGGTGACCATGGGGAGACCTACAAGGCTGAGTTAAGATTTCCCTCTTCTGGGTATCACCAAACTTTTTGGTGGCAGTGGGTGGCAATGGTTACAGGGCTCAGAATTTGATATTGAATGTGTTACCAAGACCCACTAAGTACAGTGAGGCCCACTGATGAAACATCCAATTCACAACCCCAAGATCAAGAGTTGTATGCTCTACTGACCGAACCAGACAGGTACCCCTCAATTAAAAAAACTTTATATATTTTTTTGGGAGAGACAGCAAAAAATTAGGCGTGGGGGAGGGGCAGAGGCAGGAAAGAGCAAATCCTATTTTTTTTTTATCTTAATGTTTTATTTCTATGAGAGAGACAGTGTGAGCAGGGGAGGGTCAGAGAGGGAGACACAGAATCTGAAACAGGCTCCAGGCTCTGAGCTGGCAGCACAGAGCCCGATGCGGGGCTCGAACCCACAAACCACGAGATCGTGACCTGAGCTGAAGTGAGACGCTCAACCAGCTGAGCCACCCAGCTGCCCCAAAAGAGAGCAAATCCTAAGCAGACTTCACAAACTGCATGGAATAGGGCTCGATCTCATGACCTCAGCCAACATTAAGAGTCAGATGCTTAACTGACTGAGCCACCCAGGCACCCCTAAAATTTTTTATGATTAGTTCAAAGTGCCAACAGAAGTCATCCAGCAAAAGCAAGAACGTCCTGCACGAACTCTGAGCTGGGGCCTGCAGCAGAAGTAGCCAGAGCAGGCGCGCTCTCTCTGCCCAGCACAGTTCCCTGCCTGTTCTTCCAGCATGGCCCTCTCATACTTCATCCTTGGCCATGGCTTTGCATTGATCTCCTTTTCCATCTAGCACGGTGCCTCACGTTTGCTCAATTAGTTTACACTCTGTTCTTCAAGAGTACCTTGTAGGCATGTAATGATCACCCAGGGTAGTTCATTAAGTGGATTCACACATCCTGTAAACACCTTAATGGCTGAGGTATAAAGAAAGTAAGACACAAGGAGTGATTCCAGCTTTTTTTATTTTTCCCCTTTTACACAAAACCAAGTAGAAGAAATAATACAAGATTAAAACTGCAAAAGTAGTTAATTGGTAGAACACATATACACAAAAAAATACAGACAGCAAGACAGGCTTATCTACAATGAGAAACACATGTAAAAATTAAGGTAGTTTGTAGTTTTCATGTGGAACATTAAAAAAAATCAAACATATGCTACAGTGGGTGCCACTGTTTACAGTAATCTTGAAGGGGAGAAAACAACACTTACTTAGGGACAGATATACCACAAGGTCCGGGTTTTACAGCATCAGTGCAATAAATTCACAAAACTATATTACAGCTAGTTAATCAGAGTTTAAGAACTGTTACCAATGTCACATTTTCAGCCCTCAGAGGCTCATTCCTACAGTTTTCAACTATTCTAAATTTCTAGCTACTGAGAGGGAGAATGATTCTACGACACTTTCCAAGGAGTTACAAAATCTCTGTAGACCAGAGGCCACCTATGGTCGCAAAAAGTCTGCTCTCCCAACAGCCTCTGCATTCTTTACAGAAATATTTAGGAAAAAAGTCAGATGCTGGCATAGTCACTACTTCATATCCAAATCTAGGGACCAAAGCAGCCAGCAACTACCTTCAAATGAGAATCTTGAGGCTTACCTTTAAAAGGCTTAGTCTGGTCTTGAAAAATTAGTAGGATAAGGTTTATTTTCTACTGAAATGAAAACTTGACTACATATAGGAAGACTTTTGTCCTTTGTTGGCTGGTGTTGGAATGAAGGTCATAGACCTGAGTCTTAACCTATTACATACTTTAGTTTCAGTCAGCTGAAAAATCTGAAATTAAAAATATGCTAAAAATCCTAAACAGAAACTTCTAGAAGCCTGATGTTAAAAAGCCTTTAAGGATCTTCTACTAACTCGAAGTCTAAGAACAAGGAGAGAAGAGCTCTAAGCCTGTCTCACTCCCCATTTGGGAGGAAGCATCAGTGTTTGTTACAAATTGCTAAGTTTTGCACAAGGCAGAAACCAACACATACTAGGGCATGGAAATGGTCTCCTTTTATTCCAGAAGGACTCTTCTCCCACAGTACAGAAACAGTGTGAGGAATGAATCTTAATTGGTCTCTGCATCAGAAGTGGTAAAGTTGGTCTCTCTATTCCTGGAGCCAGACAGTTGAAGCAGACTGTGGAAGCAGACAGTAGAACCAGCTTCCTGTAGCCACAGACCACTACCTTGTATCTAGCTAAAGCAAAGATCAACTGGAACAATTATCCCAAGTCACAGTTAAGTACACTAAAAGGTGAAATTCACCACTATACACTTGTAAAGGAAGTTTCCTCAAAGCAAGAATTCAATTAACCTGGGTGAGAAAAATCAAAACAAGTCATACTCACGAATGAATTATCCATATAAGGCCAACTGATGAGAATGTATCCAGCTACACTTCACATCAAAACACTATGCATAAAGCCTTACTTGGCAAGTCTGAATATCTACTAAGGGCAGAAAGAGGGAGAGCAAAGAGCTACTTCTGTAACATTTTAGAATCCAGACAGCATAACAGAAACTGTTCCCAAGGACAACGTATATGCCATTCATTACATTGAATAAAGCAGATGCATTATTCATTTTTCTTTTCTTTTTGTTTGAGAAGCTTATTTATCTCCCTTTTGGCCATTCCAATGTACTTCAAAATAATTCCGTGCTGGTTTAATCCAGGAAGCAACAGTAAGAAAGTCACTTAAAAATAAACAAACAAAATTAAGGAGGCATTAATTAACTTCCTACAGATGATTACATTTTACAGAAGTTAGCTTCCCGAACTCTTAGACACTCCATTACTTTCATTGGTATTTATCTCCTGAAACTTCTGCTGTCACACCCCCCAACCTCAGATAACACACACTGCTTATTTTTACCTCTTCGACACCACTTTCTACCTTGGTTACTGTGTTCTGTCTTAACTTACTCAAAGACCACAAACTCCCAGAAAGTAAGGCCGTGGGTTTTAGTTCTCTTTCTAGACTGGCAGCTCCTCCGTCTGTACCTTCAACTTGACAAGCACAGCACAGAGATACTAGTTTGCAAAGTTCACGCAGACTTCTGCGGCCAGAATATGCCTACAGTCCCTCCTCACAGACTTACCTATCAGGTAGGTGAGCAGCAGGTTGTGGACTTGCTGTCCCACCCAAGCAACCGCAGCAAGGGAAACGATCATGGTCATGAAGTACTAACGAAGAAAACAACAAGAAGTGATCAACCCCTAGAAACACACTCAGAAGCTTTACTGTAGGACGCTGTTTCCAAGTTTAGAAAATCATCCAGTATTTATTACAACTTTTCTTAAAAGACTTATCCATGTATTTTATATATAGCTTATGCATTATGTTTTATATATTATAAAACCCATAGAAAATTTCACTAGATCTACTTTATAGAATTTACACACATTCCCTCCTAGAATTACTGTAATTCTATATATCAATTAGTTTAAAATCACTTATACTTTTACAATTAATAATTCATAGTAACCTCATATGAAGCTGAGATGAGAATAAACGCTTATTTGTCTTTTACTTCAGTAAGTATAACAGAAAAATTTTCCTCTACTAGAATACAAAATTAAATGCAAAATATAATTTTAACTTCCAAAAATTCAATCTAATTCATACAGATAAACATTTACAAATGTACTTGGAGGAGTCAAACCAATGAATAAAAAATATCAAACTACAACTATTAAAACACAAAGGCCATCATTAGGCTACAGTGAGTAAAAATGGACTCAGTCTTAAAATTTCACTCTACTTAAGTCAGAAAAAAAAGTACCATTTTAGGCTTTTCTTCCTTTAGCGTAAAGAGGCGTTTCCACCAGCCCACAGCTCTGCGTCGAGTTTTTACTAGATTGCTACAAATTTCATGGAATCTTTGCTGTTGCTCAGTGGTCCTACAAAAAAAAATTTTCCCCTTCACTATAAGCAAATCTTTATAGTATAAACAGAAATATACCATCCTCTCAAATGTAAAATGCTATGTCCTAAAGAAAATCTAAATAAAAAAGCGACTGACCGTTCTCTTATGAACGTGAAAAGGTTTCTGTACTAGTAAGACCCTTGTCTGGCACAGGAATGAGTTTTTACATAAAGACGCGTGTATGCACAAAGCCATGGTAATCCCTGGTGCTAAAGCCACATTTGGCTAATTATAGTAACAAAAGACTCAAGGCTACTCTGGGCCATGCTGAAATCAGTATAAACTAATTTCTCTATCCCTCTATTATTTTTCAGATTCTAATGAATCCTTGGTTGTAGACCATCAGGGATCTCACTATTTTGAGGAGGACGGTAAGTTTCTACCCGACAGCTATCTGAGCACTCCGTAAGATAACGACTCCATTCCATGCATAATACCCTCAGCTGGGCTTCATACACTTGATGCCAAGGCAGCAACAAACAGCTCAAATCCAAATTAGGTATAAATTTACTCCCAGTAAGGGAAAAAATAAATAAAATAGCAGTATAAATACAAAAAGACCTTCCAAGAAAGCCCTTTTTTATTTGTTTTTTGGATTCTGGAAAAAAAAAAGTCTGCCTTCATACTGTCTTTGCTATACAGATGTGATAGATGTGATGGCTGCTGTCGTGAAGGAGACCCTTCCCCGGGCAGCTATGTACCTTTGTCTCCTCTAGCTCTTGTCCCTGTAAAACTGCAGTGACAGATACAGCACAAGGGCTCCTGATCAGCCCTGAGACTTCTTGTCAACAACTAGACCTTACATGCAAAGCTGAATTGTGGCTATGAAAGTGTTCTTCCTTCCCCATTAAGATCAAAAAATAAAACTGCTGTGGACTGAGCCACATACTGATTACCATGAAACTGTCTTTATTTCTGAAAAATTTTCTCCTAGAGTTCTGAACTAGTAGATTAGAATGTCATCTGACTAATAAAGTCAAGGTCAGAGGTTGATGTCCTTTGTTAAATTGTTATATTATATGGTTACAAACTTGCCCAAAAAACAGCGGCTATTCATTGCTACATGTGAAAAACAACTCAAAGGACATTTTCTACCAGGAATCCATTCTGCTACAGGGGAAACATCTTTAAATAAACATGTTTACGAATCCCATAACTTAAGCACACTCGCCCTAAAATATCCCAATTTATTCTTAAAGATCCATAAGGCATATTAATTTAAAATTCTTATTTTTACAGAATTATTTTATGATTTGTTATTATAATCTGTTATTATAATTGAACAAAAAAACTCAAGGCACATGTAGACTTCTAATCAAATTAAAATAAACAAGCAAGGAAGAATAGCAACAAGGACAAAAAAAAAATCTACTCCATCTAGTTTGTTTGTTATTTGGATCAGAGAGAAGTTAGACTATTTGAATGAATCTGTTCTGAAGCACTTGCTATGCATTTAACTAACTACCCCTACACTGCCTCAGTATCAACCTTAAACACAAGATCAGTCTTAAAAGTCAAAATATTTCTTAGCACATAGAACAGTGCCTAACGTAACAGTAGACATTCAATAAATAGTTGAATGGACATAAATCTGGGTTGCTGTTTCCATATTCTTTCAAAAATAGCTTGCAAAATATACCATCTTAAATATCAAAGAAAATGAATATGAAATGTAAACATACAATTTCGACAGAAAGTTCATTATGAGTTCTGCAGTATTTGATTTTATCACCTCAAAAAATATCACTTTAATAAAAAGGTCTATAAAGAAAAGCCAAAATAAATGCTAGACCATAAAGGAACTATGGAACTATAAATACTCAAAATTCATTTCTATCTGATTCAGCTAAGAAATTCTTCAGTAAAAGCAACAATCCTAACCTCCAGGTATCTGATGGTTAGACAATTCTCTGTGCGTAGTACTAACAGCCACCAGGTTCAGTAACTTCACAGAAATCAGACTGCCAAGTCATTACACCACCTACCATTTATTGGAGCCAAAAATTCTGGGAGCCAGAATGGGAACAAGGTAGTCAGCCAAGCACAAAAACATAACAAAACAGGAAACACCAGATAGAACGGATGGATCTAGATAGTAGATAGTCCTGTTTAAAAATAATAATAATGAAGGTTAGAAAACGCAGCCATTATTATTCCTAGCTGAAGACATTTATTTATTCACTTAATTCTTTGGATCTCAAAGATGTTATCTACCCTTTTCCTTCTAAGTTTCTCACAAGTGGTTTTCCAGGAAGCTGCAGAATACAGTGACATCATAGCTGCAATGGTTCATGTGAATATCAAGAAACAAAAGCTCCTTGGGATCCTCAATACCTTTCAGGAGCGTAAAGGATCCTAAAGGGTGAGCACCACTGATTTTTTCCAACTGCATTAGGTTACCGAGTTTACAGAAGTACTATGAATTCTGAAAACAAGGAGGACTGCTCTAAGAAAAGGCATTCTTTACAGATTACACTGTACAAAAGACTTAAGACTTCCAAAAGTGGAGGCTGGGTATTACCTGAGCCCTTATTACTAACAAGTACAATCCACAGTAATTTAAGAGCACTTACAGAAACACCAACGAAACCACACCCATGATGGCAGGGGGAAACCAGGCTCTTTCCCATCTGAGGACTTTATCAGCCATCAGCATCACTTCTCCCCATCCTTGAAGCTGCTCTTCCAGACTTGCAGTCTCCACGGCCTACAGGAGATCAACACGGAGAGTGATCATTTTGCTACTCTCGACTTTTCTGTGCTTCCTAGGAAGGTAAACTGTTTTAAGGCACCAAGAATGTAAAACAGCTCTTAACCAAATCACTATCTTGAATCAGTTTCTAAAACACTGCCATTTTCGTACCAAAGACAGAATTTAAGAGGAAAAAACAAAACAAAACCCCCAAAACCACCTATCATTCAACAGTCAACTTCCAAGTCCAAGCACTGGGCTACTCTTTTCACAAATAATGTAACATAATCCCTATAAAGCCCCTCAAGCTGGGGATAATTAGACCCATTTACCAATGAAAGAAAGCGGGGTCAGAACGGGTTAACTAGCTTCCTCAAAGTCATGTACTAGGTGGCAGCGCCCAAAATATAAAATTAGATCACGTTAAGTTTGCTCATTTTTCAGGTGGTTAGAATAGATCTGTTTTGCCATTTCATTGATTTATACCCCCTACTTCTAAATCCATTAGGAAAGCCTCTCCCTGGGGCGCCTGGGTGGCTTAGTCGGTTAAGCGTCCGACTTTCGCTTAGGTCATGATCTCGCGGTTCATGGGTTCGAGCCCCGCGTCGGGCTCTGTGCTGACTGCCAGCTCAGAGCCTGGAGCCTGTTTCAGAGTCTGTGACTCCCTCTCTCTCTGACCCTCCCCTGCTCACGCTGTCTCTCTCTCTCTCTCTCCTAGAAATAAATAAAAATATTTAAAAAAAAATAAAAAATAAATAAATAAAAAAATAAAAAAAAAAAAAGGAAAGCCTCTCCCTGAACAGCATTCAATTTTTAAAATAGCTTTGTGTAATGGAATCATTTTGATGCTGGCATCATTTGCACAATTAAGTAAAACTACTTTCACCAAATTACAGGAGGCATCTTAAGCTCAATATATCTCAATACGGAGAGTGCTTCTTACACTTACCAGGACATCTGCAGACTTCAAATTTCTCTGCGAAGTAGACTTCTAGGATGAACTAATGTGGTAAAAAGCCCTTAAACTGATTGTAGTACAGGAAAAATGATTGAAACAAGAAACCCACATTTCCTTATAAGTGTTATCACAGGGAAATACACAAATGCAGCCTAATCTTAATAAAGATGCTATCTGTGTCACACCGTCACTTAGGAGGCTTTAACATTTCTGACTTTATATTATCACGCTCAACATAGTTAAACAGGAGACTGCTATGTGCCAGGAACTCCAAGTATTTTATATGCTTATGCCTTAATTAAGCCTCCCAACAAGCTGAAAGGATGGTATTGTAACTATCGGATACAGAGAGGTTAACAGATCTGAATTTAGGAAAGCCAAAGCCAAAGGCCTTGTTCTCCTTTAAGTTACGCTGCTCTGCTGGAAAGAACAGTTAAGCTCCAGGCCAGGCAGGTCCTGTCCTTTCAGTAAGCTGTGTGAATGTGGGCAATTTCTTTGTGCTTCAGTCAATCCTCTTAAATGGAACCTGGCTGGGGCTAACTATGCCAACTATTGAGAAGCATGTGTATTTAAAGGAGTAGGTCATGCATTTCTAAAAACCAATGCAAATGAAAACCTTGCACAATCAAAACTGCCCTGCAAAGTCATTTAATGCGTTAGAACTGGGCTCTGGGGAAAGCAACCGTCAAAGACTAAATTCTCTGGTTCCTCTATTCTCTATGGTTGTGTGTGGCCTGCCTTTCCTTGGGGGAAAGCAATGGGAGACAAGGCAAGGATTTCTCCCGTTTTTTGCCAGATCATGCCGTGAAACTTGTAGTGAGGTTGAATGTGTTCGCCTGTGATAACGCCACTGCAGTTGCTTCGGACTCCTGCTTATTCTAAGGTCTTCCTGTGGCACACACCCCCACTCCCCCGAAACTCCAGACGAAAGCCAAGTCCTCCCACTGTCCATCGTGCTGGACCCCTCGTCACAGTTGCCCGCGAGGAGCTCACAGCCTCCTTGCGCTTTAAGCTGTGCCAGCTCTAGTAAATTCTCGCCAGCAGCCCTATGACCCTCCACCCTTGCCCAAGTATTGGGAGGAAAAAAAGAACAAAACCCGGATACGACTGGGGGCCGAGGACTCAAAAGCGCTCGACAGGCCATTCGCGGCCCTTTGCCCCGGGCTGCACCCCAGGCTGATCTCAGCCCCGCTACTCTCACTTCCTATTCACCCCCTATTCGCGGTGCCTCATCACACGCCCTCTTCACCCAGCCGCGTACCTTCCCCAGGGGGGGTTAAGGGTCGACACATCTAGTGACCGCCACGCTGGAGCTACCCCAAGAGGCCCAAGGGGCAGGCGGCGGCGTCTGCGCCTGGGGAACTGGGAGAGGAGGGCGGGGCCCGCTGCCGGTGATAGGAACGAGGCCGCAGCGCCGCCCGGCTAAGCCCACCGAAGTCCGGGGGCCCTGCTCGGCTCCCCGCCGACTCACCAGCAGGTTGGTGCTGCGATTATCTCCCTCCGCCATCGTCCCTGAGACGCCGCTTTAGCACAGGCCGCTCTCCAAACGGGCCTCCCGCAGAGCTCTACACCGCGACCCAGACGCGAGGGTTCGCCGCGCAGGCCGTCTATATAGGCCAGCCGCCTTTCCCGACAGCCCCCGCGAAGCCCGCTCCTCATTGGGTGGCTTGAACTCAAGTTTAAGGGGAGCCCGACCAACCGCTGCCCAGCGCATGGCTTGAAATCGAGGTCAAAGGACATCGAGGCGGTGCAGGGCCGGCGGGGGGCGGGGACAAGGAATGACCAACCAGCGCCCGGAAGCCGCATGACGCCACGCCCAGGCCTTTGGGTAGCGGTTGAACTGCCGCAGCCCACAGCCTGGTGTGTACGCGGATGCAGCTGCTGTGGATGTCTTCGTCTCACTTGGACTCCTTTCTACTGGAGTTCAAAGCAGCTAAGCAGCCTTGCTGGAATTTAGTCCTTAAAGAAGTTGGACACGCATTATCAGGCGGAGGGCGGAGATGGGACCTCGCTGTGATTAAGGGACCCTGCATAGCTCTGTCTTCTAATCCCTGTTCCGGCCGCGCTACCCAGGCCCCTGAGTCTCGGAGACTCGTGCAGACCCGGGAGACTTTGAGCACAAGTGAAAAGAGCGGTTTATGTAAATTTGCAGCAGTTTCCCATCCTTTAAGAGTAAGGCCTTAGCTTGATGAAGGACGCGGGGGAGGCGGGAGATTCTGGGTTTAGCTCTCAAACTTGTGAAAAATGCACCAATTTAGTAAGTTGGCTTAATGGGTCTTAAGGAAAATCCTTTGTGGCGCAAGACGTTTCAGTTACTTGGGAAACTAGGAGTTCCTTCTCCATCAAGTCATGCTAAGATGTTAAACCCTCTCTCCGAAGCAGTGGAATTCATAAGCAATTTAGGAATTAGATGAACTACTAGATATACTACTTACTAGACGAATAACTTCCACCTCTTTTCAGGATTGCAAAATGCATTGTGCTTGGATTTTTATTAATCAGTAGGAAAAAAACTAGGCCAGATTTTAACTTGGTCAGATAGGTTTTAGGAAACCTCATAAGATTTTTAACATATCCTTTTATAATCATCTATATTATACTACGAATTTAAATTTAAAAGTATTAAATAACCACCAGGTTCTTAAGAGTTCAGGGAAGGCTTAAAGAAATGTGAAGAGAACAAGCCAGTGGGGACAGGAGCATTGTGAATTTCATGGACGGGTGTGTATCACCACGAATCTTTGGGGCAGGAGACCTGCGAAGCATCTGGATGAGGTATAAACACTTGCAGGGGAAGGAGGAAGTAACCCTTTGCAAAGGAAGGGGGGGGACTCTTAAATAAAAGTGCCACTTTGGGGAATGTTGGAGTGGGGATAGGTTGTGTGGGTAAGGTGAAGCCAGGTGATATATAGAGATCCCATTTGGGAAGATTTTAAACTATGAAGTTTGAGGAGCAGGCCCTTGCCTCCCTCTTCAAAAAAAAATTAAAAGGTCCCCATCAGCAGCCACATAATTAGTGAATACATTTAGCATTGAGTGCAAAATCTTGACAGAGACGCAGTAACATCCACTTCCAAAGGAGAAGCCACAGAATTATTATGCTTTAAAAATGACATTTCTACTCTGGGAAATCAGCCTCTGCTACAAAATACTTCTGGTTCACCCAAGTTCCCTATGTACAACTTAAGACTTCAACACCAGCTTGTGAAATTCAGGTAGGTGAAAAAAATTCAAACAACACAGGTTGCCCAAGCCCCCAATTACTTTTGTTACTCAAGCAATGAGGCCCCGGACCTACATGCAACTTCACAGCCCAGGAGCCCTGCTATAAGACCTTTCTGTATACTTCCAGTTAGCCTAATTATTAAAAAACAAAACAAAACAAAAAAACCTACTTTCAAGTGCTTTCTTTTGAGCTCTGTTCTTATACTACAAAAACAGGATGTGAAGGTGCCCAATGATGACACAGTTAACATAAATCCTCTTAAAATGAACTGGCAACAACAAAATACAATCTGACTTCCATATACTAAAACAGGCCAGACATTTTCATTCTGTTTTCCTTCAGAGCTTTCATACCCCAGGGAATATACATTATTAATAATGTGCTATAGTTTTGTTTCTAAATACTGACAAACTTCAGCTTATTAAATAATGCCTTAATACTAGAACTTACCAGAGACGTAAAATTTTAACTGCTGCTCAAAAATACTACAGTACTTTGACAATTCAAAAAAATTACTTTGACCTCAGGGTTCAGTTCAAGCCTCACATTGGATGTAGAAATTACTTAAAAATAAAATCTTAAAAAAACAAAAACAAAATCTCTACGCATATTCCAAAAGTAAGCGTTCTAGAACCTACTTTAACCAATAAATTCAGAGCTTAAATGCTATGTCTTTCAAGACTTTATTTTCTGAAAAACAGGTATTTCATACAATCTTTGCTGTGTTAATGCAAATATGCACAAAGTAGGCATGTATTTTTGTTTTCCAAAAGATGCATTATGAACATTTTCAGGAAGCTGGTGTGATTTATTCAACTTTTAATCTTAAATACAATCACAAAATTATATCCATCAGGAGGCATTACAACCTTTTGTACAGAGAAGCCACTTTATTTATACAATGTTACTAGGACAAGGAAGATTCATTTAAACTCAATTTACTCTTATAAGGGTAAAGTAAATTAATGAAGTATGATGTTACCACTGACATTACAGGTGGAAATATAAGAGAAATTTAAACCAGAAAAATAACTGATACAAGAACTTTAAACAGGAGCTGAAACTTGGACTGTCAGGAAAAAGAAAAAAAAAATCAGCCTGTTTTGAAAGAAAAACATTCTACAAGCCTGCATTTCAGAAGAACATGCAATTCCTTAAGTTTACCATCTTCAAAAATCAAACTAATGGTATGACATGTTTACATTAGCACACAGCTTTTCCCCAGTAAGCCCAAATTGCCATTGAAAGCAAGGGACTCTTAGCGGTTCGTGTTGTACAACTAACCCTTGAACCTGTAAAGCTTCGCAGTTGGAGTCCATTTGCCCTTTCGTAAATAAGGTTGGTGATATTGTGAGGCCTAAGAAGCAGGAAAAGTGCAACAAATCCTTAGGGGTTCATAATACAGCGGATTTCCCCTTCTGCAATTTTTGGAAAAATCTGTATTCCTAAGCTCATTTTTCCCCATAGGAGGAATGTTTCTAATACAACCCATACATTGCAAACAAAATCTACCTCAAGTGACCCTTACATTACTATGGTCTACCTCCTTAATTTAAGGGGGGGAAAGTCCTAGCTTTAAATGACTTCTATTTTACAAGCTCAAGAAGATAGAGAGTGGAAGGTCACTGTCTTTCACATTCATCTACTCTTACGTAAAACAAAGGTACGTGTGCTAAGAGTAAAGCATTCGATGATTTTTGATGTATATGAATAGGATTAACAGGCTAATTGTAGGTGCTTCCTTTCATATGAAAAGAATCAGGAGAAAAGAAGAACCAGCCCCTTTGATTTTAGTACTGCCAAAACAAGTAAGCCCCCAGAATAATTACAAATATGTGGAGGATAATAGGCCAGGAAGACTTTTCAATTTAAAGTACTGCCTATAATACCCCAGGTTTAAAAGAACCTAAGATTGCACATCAACTCTATTATTTTTGGCTGTACTTGCATTGCCCTGCTCGGCATTTTTTAATGGCTCTTTCCTTAAATTTCACACATCAGAACAACCACAATTAAAAAAACAATGCAGATAACACCAAACATGGACAGTATTAAGAAAAACTACATACTAAGCTTAGGTCATAGTGGCAAGTGTTAAGGGCAGAAGTTACGGAAGTTTTTCTTTGTATTACAAACCCTCACCCTGAACTTGGGGTTTGGGCTCTAAAGAAAACAATTTAGGGAAGCAGATCAAGAGCTTGATTATCAGTTCACACACAGAAATCTCACATATCTGAAAAACAACTCACCACAAGTGCCAGACACAAAAGAATCTTAATAATCATGTAGCTAACTATGTTAAGAACTCATGGCCAGAAAGAATGAGACCCTGCAAGACACACCAAAGAAAGACTAAAAGAGAAATACACACAGCTCCATAAACCACTAGGCCTCCACAGCTCTGTAGAGATATCAACTAAAATTCAAGCAATTTTAGAAAATCAAAGACAACAAAACACTTAAGATAAACTTCAATTTCCAAGGGTGCTTTGAATGGAAAAAGAGGTTGTAGGTTATTGTATACCCCCTGGATCTTAGAAAGAGAGAGAGAAGGGAAAAGAGAGGAGCAGATCCCTGGTTTTCCACAGGTATTATATATCATCAGAAATGTAGGACTTCCTAACTATATAGCACTCTCAACTTTATTCAAACGAATCCTCCCAATATAGCCCTGTCTTCTCAGTCTGCTCTAACGATAGGGCCTTTCAACACTGATTACATCTGCTGAGTTTGCTTGCAACAGTTCAAACAGCCGCGGCTACTTACGGGATGCCTTCCCAGACAAAGGCAAACTGTACAGACCAGGGTCTTACTGTGCAGAGTGCAGTAAGAGCAACCTTTGACGTCAGCAGTCATTCACAACTGCCCACAACCAAACATGTATGTGCCACACTATTCTCAGAGGGACCATTTTAAAATAAAAGCAATGGATAATTTACCAGAGGCACATGTTTCTGCTATAAAGCTGTTTTGTTTTTTGCTTGGATAAGGTGCCAGGTACCTCTGAAGCCTGTAAAATTCCCCTATTTCTTTTACCTTCCTTACCTAAGAAAAAGCAATTTCTGAATACTACCTGTAGGGACAAACTACTGTGACTTTGTTTTATCACTGTGAAAAAGTTTTTCCTTGTGACAATAAAGAATGTTGCTGAAAAGACTACTTTCGAGAGAGCAGAGGTAATCAGGTGATGGATGTGGTAGCTCCCACAGAGCCTCGAGGAAATAAAGCAGCGTGCAAAACACAATATGGCATCATTATTCCAGATAGGTTGTTTTGATTGTGAAAATAGGTCCAAATGAATGAAGAAAATAAAATTTGATGCACTAGGTTCCTTAACTTGCTGTTAGAC